AAGAATTAAATTTAATGAAACTGGAAGGAAAATGGATCCAGCTTTAATTAAGGCAGTTGGATTTGTTTGATCGCATAAAGCATTTTCAAGAAGAGTCTGCGCATTAAATTTGGAATAGGGAGGGCTTGGGTCATTGTATGCATACCTGGTGGTTAGATCGAGAGCAGTAGCTCATGATTAACAATGAGGAGCTCTCTGGGAAGAGCATCTTTGTGTTATGTCTTCAGTCAAAATGCCAGGCTCGTAATCCAGTCAGAATGAACTCTATTATTTTTTTACCTTGTTATTATGCATTGGAAATTCACAGCAAAACATCTGTGCATGTAAAAAAGGCAGTATTTAGACAACTGTTTCTTTAAAATTTGAATATTTAAACTGCAGCAGTGAATTCTAATAGCTTCATGTAAAAACAAATATTCATGAGTACAGGATTTTTTTATTGCTATGTGAATAGATTTAGTATGCATAGTTGAAGATACTGGAATGTGGTTTTTTTTTCTGTTTGCATGTTTCTAAACAACATTTTATACGAGTGGAGTTTTTTCTCTCTTTTTTGTTCCTTTAAATAGCTGGAAACTATACAAGCACAGCTGGATTCCCTTACGTGATGTTTTTGAAGACTTATTTCTCCATCACACTCCTGCCACCTCATTATTTTAAATTGAAGATAGATTGCCAAGCTGTGTTTGCTGAAGGATTCAGTGGGTTGCTTCCTGTAAAATTATATGGCTTATCTCCTTTTTAGACCAGTAACATTAGCCAAAAGTCTTTGTTAAGAGTCTGAACATTCTAATGGACTTTCTGTTATTTTCTGAGCAATTGTGAAGAATGGCTTTACTTGTAAAAAAAAAAAAAAAAAGAAAAAAAAAGCAAACCAGCTTCAGAAATGTTTTTTTTTTTTTTGTCCTGTTATGTGTGTTACTTGATTGTGGTAGAAATTTGCATACTAGTGAGGGACCAGGAATAAAATCTATTTTTTAAACATAAAAGGACTATAAAAGTAGTAAGAAAACACACAGCTAATAAAAGCTCTATCCTTTTGAATTGTTATTTACATAATTGATAATGCTTATTGCGAATTTGTCAAAATAAATTCAGAATTTAAAAATGGGTTGGTTTACTGTGGGCTATTTTAACTTCATTTCATTATCTTTATTCTTTTTTAGTTTGGTTTGGGTTTTTTTCGTCTAAATAATCAACAGTGTCACTGATTTCAGTGTTTAATTTTGGCACTGAGAATAAATACAGCTTCTTAGCACTGCATGCATACCAATGAATCTAAGTACTATGGTGTGTAACTGGAGGAAGAAATCTCAGAGTATATAACAAAGAACACTGAAATAATCTGAAAATCAGATTTCTGAAAGCTATTTGTTGATACTTCCTAATGTTGTCCACCACCGTTTTTACATTGAACGGAAAGAAATAAAGTACAGTGACCTAAAGGCCAAGTTAGTCATATTTCCACACATTAGTTCCAGATGAATGGAGGTTCCTGAACAGTATGAGAAGGCAAAAGTCATCTTAGTTCTTGTTTGTTGCCATTCATCGACAGACAGCTTCATTGCTGCACCTTGATAATGGGCACTGTATACAACTCTCTACTCCGGGTTAATAGAAGGTGAGAGGAAATAAAAATCTTTGGCATTTGCTTGTCTTTCTTCCTCCTTAAGGGATTCCCTGAACAAGGCTTTTTTTCTTCCAGATGCCTAAACCACGGATGGTTAATAGCCAACCAGCCAATTTTCTTTTGAGGTTTGTTTGCTCGTGACACTAGATACAAGTATAGCCAAAAGGTATGTTTTGAACAGCTGGTGTTAAGGTCCTCTTATGCTAGATTTCTTGCTTTGTTGCTTTTGGAGGGTTGTTTGGGGCTTTTTGTGTTGCTTTATTAGGGATTGTGCTGTCACCTCTAGAATACTGAAGGGGTTTGCACCACTGGTCTAAGCTGTGAGATAATAGATTTAGAAGATAAAGTCATTAACAGCCTACATGTGAGTAAAGGGCACCGAAGAGAAAAAACACATTTATCATAGTTCTTAACTGAAATGCTGGTCAATACTGTACCACTCTGGTAAGGTAACACTATTACCCTGTTGGAAAGAAGAGATAAGTCACTGTTGCATGGCAGAATCTTACTCTCTACTCCTCGTGAGGCTGGCTGCCAAAATCAAGTCTTTTCTCAAGCTACTGGCGAATGTGCCTTATCTTCTGGGGATATAACACTCCCGCCCACAGACATCACATCCGCTGGCTCATCCAACAGCAGTTTGCCAGCTCGCTCATCTCAGGCTGCACAGGTTGGTGTGTGTCTGCAGGTGAGCACATCCCCACCATTCCTTCTGCCTGCCAGCGTTAGCAGTGCTTGTAGTTAGCACAGCTAGGAAAATCCCCTTCTTGGCATTTAGGTCCTGTCTTCTCTTCTGGTTCTGTGGGAGAGTATGTTGTGTGCTAGGACACTGCTCTTCACTTTTCCCTCAGGTTGCAGAGCTTAAGTTGCAGAAGTCGGGTCTGAAGTGCATTGAAGACACTCCTGTGTGGACGCAGGACATACTAAGGCAGTTAGTTGTCCAAGCGTGAGAGAGGGGTTTAGTTATCTTTGTGGATGTAGGCAGTGACTGATGAATCCTGGAGGATGGGGTGAAGACAGGACCAGATTGGACAAATTAGCAGGCACATCTGAGGAAAAAAAAAAAAAAAGGAGAATTCAAAGACAGAGTAGGAAGAAACTGGGCATGGGAAAAAGGAAGGAGAGAACAGAGTAATATATATTCCTAAGAGTGAAATTTGGGAGTTGGAAAGCTATAAGAAAAAGGGAAGCGACACTGGAAAAGACAGCAAAAGTATATATACAAAGAAAATACATAAGGGGGAGAAAAACCTTATGTAGCAGGGGAATTAGAATAGAATTGGGGAAAAAAAGTAAATTGGAGTTAAGTATGAAAACTGTGGCCAGCCATGTAATTGTATCTAGTATTTCGAACTAACCCATAAGTGTCAGCCTCGATGCAAATTTGGCCAACATCAAAGAAAAGTGTGGGATAACAAAAAAGAGCATTTTAAATCTAGCTTTAATAGAAAATATTAGGAAAAATAGAAAAAACAAAGCCAAAGATTCTGTAAAATTTATTTAGTGTTTATCCTTGTTTGCAGATGGATGAAGAGATTAATGATTTCTTTAGCAGTGGTTGCCTTTTCTTTTTTACTAAATGTACCGAACATCTTACTGTCAGAAGTCATAATAAAAGTCATAGTGTACCTCGTGGTAAGAAGTACAGTTGTTATCTTTTGTCAAGGAGCACTGAGAAATAAATAGTTTAGAAGGACTTTTTTGTATGTAACAGGAAGCTTTGGGGTTGTGCATTATTAGGTAACGATGGAATAACCAGTACCATCTTAGAGAACATCGTCACTTAGTTAGGTGCTCCTGAATAAGGAGAGAAAATTGACTCACTGTGAAAGAGCAGAACTATTTAGGGATTTTTGTTAGGTCTTGCAGAAAAGAAGGCTTTTATTCTGGTTGCTGCTCTTTGGGCCTGAGTGACCTGGAGAAGGAAAGATCAGTCTCCCTGTGAGAGCAGCTGCCCCTGCTTAGTTTGGATAAAGTCCTGGTGTCCCAGCAGTGTCAGGGACTAGAGAAAAACAAGCACCAGCACAGACTGGGGCATGCCTGGGGAGATGGGAGATCTGCCAGCAGCAGGGACTAGACCTGATGCCGTACCTCAGAGGTGGCGGAAAGAAAAGGAAGAAGGCATGTAGCCTGTTCAGAACTGAATACCCCCGGTTGGTGTGGGAACACAGGCAGGGAGGTGCATGCTCAAAGTCTTCCAGCTTTTGTTTTGCTGTCTGATAAAACATAGTTTTGAAGAGTGAGTCTTGTAGGTATTTGAGTTTTTACTGCAGGAGAGGAAAGGGGTAACTCTCAGGCCCTCTTCAGTTCAGGGTCCTGGCAAAGCATTGGTCTGTAATATCTCCTGGGCATGGTCCAGAACTGAAATTACCAAGGCTTCTGGTAGTCTTGAAGGAAGATATTTGCAGAGATTTATTGAGCTGTAAAACTGGAGATTTGAATGAGTAAGAATTACTAAATCTACTTTCAGATCTTTCAGTGCATTTTAGAAACCTTTGATTCATCTTTGCTCAGACATTAAAGACAGTATTTTCCATGACTGTACTTCTCCCAAAGCTATATCAAAATCCGCCTCAAATGGACTATTGGCAAAAGAAGGAAATCTTTCAGTTTGGGTATAAACAAGCATTAGTATTGTTTTGACATGAGGACATGGAGTTCTGGGCATAAAATGAAACCCAGCGTGAGAACTACCTTGAAAATAGCGACTAACTGGTAAAAAGCAACTATTTGTACATCACTTAGCAAAACCAATACTAATAGCACATTAATGCTTGTTGAGTACAAATGCATTAGATTATCTTTGCCCAGTTTAGCCTTAGGCATATACTTCTTGTTTCTCAACCAAATATGCAATGTCTGTAAGTTTCTGCATTGTATTTTTGTTGAAATAAAATGTACGTAGGTAGACAAATATAACTTTACTATCTCAAATTTTGACTAATTGCCAAACCTACTTTGGCTCTCCAGAGGAGGCTTTCAAGTTCCCCTTTAATTCCTGGGTTTTTTGACACATCCGTTTTGAGTTATGACTTGCAGCTTCATTTCCTACAGTCTGATTTTAAAGGCTTTGAAGTCTTGTTCTTTCAAAGCATAAAGAATGTACTGAAATGCTGTCTTACGTTGCCCAGCAGAAAAGGACCTGGGAGTGTTGATTGACAGCCGGCTGAATATGAGCCAGCAGTGTGCCCAGGTGGCCAGGAAGGCCAACAGCATCCTGGCTTTTATCAGGAATAATGTGGCCAGCAGGACTAGGGACGTGATCGTGCCCCTGTACTCGGCACTGGTGAGGCCCCACCTGAATACTGTTCAGTGTTGGGTGCCACAGTACAAGAATGACATTGAGGTGCTGGAGAGGGTCCAGAGAAGGGCAGTGTAGCTGGTGAGGGGTCTTGAATATCAGTCTTGTGAGGAGCGCCTGAGGGAACTGCGGTTGTTTAGCCTGGAGAAAAGGAGGCTGAGGGGAGACCTTATTGTTCTCCACAACTACTTCAAAGGAGCTTGCAGCAAAGTGGGGGTCGATCTCTTCTCTCAGGTTACAACTGATAGGACAAGAGGAAAGGGTGTCAAGTTGCACAAAGGGAGGTTTAGGTTAGACATTAGGAAAGACTTCTACACTGAAAGGGTTATCAAAGACTGGAACAGGCTGCCCAGGGAAGTGGTTGAATCGCCATCCTTGGATGTATTTAAAAGCTGTCTGGATATGGTGCTCAGGACACCGTTTAGAAGTGGGCCCAGTAGAGTTTAGATAGTGGTGGACATGATGATCTTAAAGGTCTTTTCCAGTCATAACGATTCTATTAGTCTATGATTCTATGATTCAAAGGAAGAAAAGTGTTGTGATAAAATGGTATAAGGTCCCCTTCACGCTTGTTCTATCTCACATTCCCTGATTTCCAACAGCAGCAGAAACGTTTCTTTGTTTGGCTGTATTGGCATCTCATATCTTCAAAGATTATTAATTCACTCACATAACAGTAAAGAAATGATAGAGCTTAATAATGCCTATTGCGCAGTGAATAAATATCATATCATTTTGTGACCCTTGCATAGCTTATTTGACTAACGAAAATGAACAACATTTTGAGCCAGTGTGAGTAAGTTCCTTTTCTATGGATCAGCCAAACTGGCATTCTGAATAACAGTGATTTCATCTAGGTGGATGAACTACAGTGCTGCTGTCTGAAACGCTGTTGATGGTGTCTTATAA